AGTGGGATGGATAGAAGATCCCCTTCCCCTAGAAACTAATTTAAAGCTCTTTCTACTAAATTAGAAAGCCTATGGCTAAAGATGCTCTCCCCTTTCTCTGAAAGATGAACCCCATCAGCCCCTAGGAGACCAGGCTTCTCAAAGCAACTCCTATCGTCTAGCCAAAGCCCAGGCATTGGCACCACTCCTGTAAGCATTTATTGATTTCCCCAATTTAACTGGTCTTTTCAAGCCCCTTCCTTTTGACTAGGAGGATTAACAAAAAGACTATCAGTGCTCCCAAGTCCTTCACTGCCACTCCCAGTCCTTTGTAATCCTTCTTGATGGTCTTCAAATTGCTTCTCACTGTATCACTGGTGCCCCCGTTAAACAGCAGGAGTGGATAGTAGAATTATAGAATCACAGAACTATTCAGGTTGGAAAAGACCCTTGGGATCACCGAGTCCAACCATCATCCCTGCTCCACAAAGTTCTCCCCTAAACCATGTCCACCTGCATCCAAATGACCTTTAAACACATTTAGAGATGGTGACTTAACCACCTCCCTCGGCAGTCTATTCCAGTGTCTAACCACTCTTTTTGTGAAATTTTTTTTCCTAAACCTCCCCTGTTGCAGCCTGAAGCCTCCCCTCTTGTTCTGTCACTAATTAGCTGTGAAAAGAGACCAGCACCAACCTCTCTACAATGACGTTTCAGGTAGTTGTAGAGACTGATGAGGTCTCCCCTCAGCCTCAAACTAAACATTCCCAGCTCTTTCAAGCATTCTTCATAAGATTTATTCTCTAGGCCCTTCACCAGCTTCCTTGCCCTTCTCTGTACTCGCTCCAGCACTTCGATATCTCTTGAATGGAGGTGCCCCAAACTGGACACAACATTCCAGGTGTGGCCTCCCCAGTGCTGAGTACAGGGGGACAATCACCTCTCTACTTCTGCTGGTCACACTATTTCTAAGACAAGCCAGGATGCCATTGGCTGTCTTGGCCACCTGGGCACACTGCTGGCTCATTCATATTCAGCTGCTTGTCGATTAGAACCCCCAGGTCCTTTTCTGCCAGACACTTTCCAGCCACACTTCCCCAAGCCTGTAGGTTTGTCTGGGGTTGTTGTGGCCCAAGTGCAGGACCTGGCACTTGACCTTGTTGAAGCCCATACCAGTAACATCAGCCCAACAATCTAATCTATCCAAGTCTGTCTGTAGAGCCTCCCTGTCCTCACGCAGATCAACACTCCAACCAGCTTGGTGTCATCTGCAAACTTACTGATGACACACTCTATGTCCTTATCGAGATCATCAATAAAGATGTTAAACAGAAACGGTCCCAACACTGAGCCCTGAGGAACACCACTTGTGACTGGCCCCTGCTGGTTTTGACTCCACTGACCACCACTCTCTGGGCCCAACTGTCCAGCCAGTGCTTGATCCAACAGATCATATGCTCATCCAGGGCATGAGCAGCCAGATTTTTTATGAGAGTTCTATGGGGAACAGTGTCAAATGCTTTTTGGAGGTCCAGGTAAATAATATCCACAGCCTCTCTCTCGTCCAATAGTTGGGTCATCAGGTTATAGAAGGAGATCAGGTTCATCAGGCAGGACCTGCCTTTCATCAACCCATGCTGACTGGGCCTGATCCCCTCGTTATCCTCTATATATGTCTTCTAATAACACTCAAGATGATCTGCTCCATGACTTTCCCTGGTACCGAGGTCAGACTGACAGGTCTGTAGTTTCCCAGATCCTCCTTTCTGCCTTTCTTATAGGTGGGTCTTACATTTACTGCCCTCCAGTCCATTGGCACCTCCCCAGTTAGCCAGGACTTCAGGTAAATAATGGAAAGTGGCCTGGTGGTCATGTCTGCCAACTCCTTCAGCACCCTTGGATTTAACCCATCCGGTCCCATAGACTTGTGTGTGTCTAAGTAGTGTAGTAGGTCTGTGACCACTTCCTCTTTAATTGTGATGACCTCATTCTGCATCTCTTCCCTGTCTCCTACCTCACGTGGCTGTGTATCCATGGAACAGCTAGGTCCCCTGCTAAAGAATGAGGCAAAGTAGGTGTTGAGCACCTCAGCCTTTTCCTCGTCTTTTGTTACTAAGATTCCCTTTGCATCCAATAAAGGATGGAAATTTACCCTAATCCTCCTTTTGTTGTTAATGAACTTATAGAAACATTTTTTATTATCCCTAACAGCTGCAGCTAGTTTTAGCTCTAGCTGTGCTTTGGCTCTCCTGATTTTCACCCTGCATAGGTTCACTTAATCTTTATAGACTTGATGAGTGACCTGTCCCCTCTTCCAAAGGTCATAGACTCTACTCAGTGGGACATACAAGATTTTGTAGTCTTTCAGTGATATCCTTGATATGAGCTCCTGGTAAGCAGCAGGCCTCCCTAGAGAGTGTGTCAGTGTGCCAATCCGCATTTTGCCTATTGTCTCAGTGACTGGAAATGTTTTTATTTCTGATCCAGTTATCAACCTGCAGCTCTACTTTGCTGCTAGTAATGATGTGGCCAGTTTGCTTGCTTAAAGCAGGATATATGATGGGGTCTCTTGTCTAATCTGTTGGCTCAGTCCACTGGCATTCTGAACCACAACTGAGTGGGGAGCTGAACCAGGGTGCAACATGTTTCTAATGCTTTGTATCACAAAGGACAGTGAAACAGAAATGGCTTTGAACTTCTATCTACAGATCTCAGCTCCTATACATGATTTTCTGGGTCAACTAACAGATCTCCTTGTGAAAATCCTATTCAAAGCTAATGTTGAATTTTTGTCACAGCATTTACAAGAAGCAAGCTCTAGAAAGTAATGCTTAATTTGGAACAATTGGCAACATCTGTTTAGGAAACTGTGGAATATTTGTGGAATATTACAAATTCAACAACTCGCATTGATTTTGTGTGCTAAGGGTGAGGTTTAATGCCTGAGTCTGGATGGTGGTGGAAACTGTTAGTCCAGTTCACAGTCTGTGGCCACTGAGGGAAGCAGGGATGTTTGGTTTGGAGAAGAGGAGGCTGAGGGGAGACCTGATTGCCCGCTACAGTTTTTTTTTTCAGGGAAGAGGTTGTAAAGAGGTGGGTGTTGTCCTCTTCTCCCAAGGACCAGAGGAAATGGCCTGAAGTTGCAGCAGGGGATGTTCAGATTGGATATTAGGAAGAATTATATACTGAAAGAAGGGTCAGGCACTGGGAAAGTATTCAAGAGGTATTCAAGAAATGTGTAGATCATGGAATCAGATAATTATTTGGGATGGACAGGACCTTAAAGATCTGCTAATTCCAACCCTCCTGCCATGGGTAAGGGTACCTCCCTCTCGATCATGTTGCTCAGAGCCCCATCCAGTCTGGCCTTGAAAGCTTCCCGGGATGAGGCTTACACCACTTCTCTGGGCAACCTGTTCCAGTGTATCACTATCCTCATGGTGAAGAATTTCTTCCTAACATCGAATCTGAATCTACCCACTCCCTAGTCCTACCACAGCCCAACATCCTAAAAGGTCCCTCACCCGCTTCCTTTTTAGCCCCCTTAAGATACTGGAAGGCCACAATAAGGTCTCCTTGGAACCTTCTCTTCTCCAGACTGAATAACCCCAACTCTTTCAGTCTGTCTTCATAGGAGAGGTGCTCCAGGCCTCTGATCATCCTCATGGCCCTTCTTTGGACACATTGGAGCATGTCCATATCTTTCGTATAATAGGGGCTCTGGAACTGGATGCAGTACTCCAGATGGTGTCTCACAAGAGTGGAGTAGAGGGGGAGAATCACCTCTCTTGAACTGCTGGCCATGCTACTCTTGATGCAGCACAGGATATGATTTGCTTTACGGGCGGCAAGTGTATGCTGCCTGCTCATGTTGAGCTTCTCGTCCAACAGAACCCCCAAGTCCTTTTCTTCAGGGCTGCTCTCAAGCCAGTCACTGCTGAGCCTATCCCTGACTGAGATGCAGGACCTTGCACTTGGTCTTGCTGAACTTCATGAGATTGGCATGGACACACCTCTCCAGCCTATCAAGGGCTGATGTGTCACTTCAGGGCATGTTCTAGTGTCTGAGAGTGTAGGTTGTGTGTTTCTGGGGCCTTTGGGTGTTTTTTGGTTTTTCTTATGATTGGACTTGCTGATCACAAAGATCCCTTCCAACCATGACTATTCTGTGATTCTGTGATTCTGTAAAATTGGAGCTTGTTCCCAAATCACCTGTAGAAGCCTCTTCCCAGCCTGACTGCTCTCTCCTGCTGTGGTGCTCTGTGTATGTGAAGCTATGCCAAGTGAACCTCAAAGTCCCCTCCAGCCTACACTGGTCAGAACAGACCCATTATGTCACCATCACATATTCCGTTTCTTTGTCTGCCAACTGCAGCAGGGAGGCTCTTGGCTTTTCTCATTCATGGTTTTTCCACCTTTTCCCTCATATGCCCGAGAGAAATTTCTTATTCCTTCTGTTTCTCAGTGGGGGTAATGTGTACTGCTACCCACAGGCTGGAGTGTCCCTGTAGCACAACAGAGGAGAGAGGCCTATTTGCTTCTGCAGAACCAGAAGAGACAGGTTTTGTCCCTCCTTCTACTGGGAGGGATGTTTCAATTCACCCTGAGGCTGCCGCCTCCTCAACCACTGCCCACAGCTTTTCTGACAGATCTCCAGTGGGCATCTCTGGGCAGATCTGTAGAGGAAGTGCAGCTGCAGTTGATAGATGTCATCATTAGTCAGATGTATTCTGAACTGATTATTCTTTTAGCTTGCAGGAAACATGGTTGCTTCTTTGTAAAAATTATTAAATTCATCATCTTACAGCATGATTCACTTTACACTTCTGATAATAGTACTACTCATTTCATGGTTAACTCTAAAATCAATATTCTGATGTGAATATATAAAGCTGAAAAGTCTTTTTGACCCAATTTATCTTCCATTTGGAGCATCTAACCACTTGGAACCTTTATTTAATAGGAGATTTTACTGTTTGGAAAAAAATGTGATTTTTACTGATTTACTTTCTTCATTTCAGGCTAAACTTAAAGAAATCAATCTGTCCACTGTGCGGTTTACTGAGGAGCTAGGAGAGGAGAGATTTGGCAAAGTCTACAAGGGTCATCTTTTTGGAACAGCACCAGGTGAACAGACACAAGCTGTTGCTATCAAGACACTAAAAGACAAAGCAGAACTAGCTCTTCGGGAAGAATTCAAACATGAGGCAATGATGCGATCGCGATTACAGCACCCAAACATTGTTTGTTTGCTGGGAATTGTAACAAAGGAGCAACCCATAAGCATGATTTTTAGTTATTGTTCCCACAGTGACCTTCATGAGTTTTTGGTGATGAGATCACCCCATTCAGATGTTGGCAGCACTGATGATGACAAAACAGTAAAATCCACTCTGGAACCAGCAGACTTCTTCCACATAATGACTCAGATAGCTTCAGGAATGGAGTATCTTTCAAGCCATCATGTTGTCCACAAGGACTTGGCCACTAGAAATATACTAGTGTTTGATAAACTGAATGTGAAAATATCTGATTTAGGCCTTTTCAGGGAAGTTTACGCTGCTGATTACTACAAACTGATGGGAAATTCCCTTCTTCCTATCCGGTGGATGTCTCCTGAAGCTATTATGTATGGCAAGTTTTCTATTGATTCAGATATATGGTCATATGGAGTTGTGCTATGGGAAGTTTTCAGCTATGGCTTGCAGCCTTACTGTGGTTATTCTAACCAGGACGTTATTGAGATGATCAGGAGTCGACAGGTTTTGCCATGTCCTGATGACTGCCCCACATGGATATACACTTTGATGTTGGAGTGCTGGAATGAATTTCCCAACAGAAGACCAAGATTTAAAGATATACACAACAGACTAAGAACATGGGGAAATCTTTCTAATTACAACAGCTCAGCGCAAACCTCTGGGGCAAGCAACACCACGCAAACGAGTTCTCTCAGCACAAGCCCTGTTAGCAACATCAGCAATGCTAGGTACATTGGACCAAAGCAGAAAACATCAGCTTTCCCACAACCACAGTTCATACAAATGAAAGGGCAGATGAGGCCAATGGTCCCACCTCCTCAGCTCTACATTCCAGTCAATGGTTACCAGCCGATGCCTGCCTATGGTGCTTACTTGCCAAATTTTTACCCTGTTCAAATTCCAATGCAAATGGCTCCTCAGCAGATGCCTCCCCAGATCATTCCCAAGCCAGGCTCCCACCACAGTGGGAGCGGATCTACCAGCACAGGCTATGTAACAACAGCACCTTCCAACACTTCAGCAGCCGACAGAGCTGCTCTGCTCTCAGAGGGCACAGATGATACACACAATGGAATAGAAGACATCACCCAGAATCCTGTCCAGGAGGAGGAGGAAGAGGAGGGCTCTGTACCTGAAACAGAGTTGCTTGGTGATAATGACACGCTTCAGATGGCTGAAGCAGAAATTCAATCAGAAGCCTAAGGAATTTGGCCTCATTACTAAGAATTTCACATAATTTCTATGCAGGGAGACTGTAGTTCCTTAATCTTAATAGCAGTTTTTTTAATCTGACTAAAAGAAACAAAGCAAAAAAAACCTACATCCATATAAAGTGCAGCAGTAATGATATACTGGGTTTACTGACCATTTCGACCATCAGATTTTGCACGTAGTATGGTATAGAATTGATAGGTTGAATCTTTTTTATTGTCCTACAGTTATTAAGGGAAGCTGCTTTTCAGTTATGTACTGTTGCTGTGCAACATGTTGCAGAGTAGCATTGCACATCGTGTGTATCATGGTATATGAGTGTAATGTTAATGAATTACGCTTAAACCAATAACACAAAAAGAAATCCATATATAGTTGCAGAATTGCTCTGAGCATGAAGAAGTGCCCTGGATGTGATGGACAGCTTAGTTCATAGTATTTATCTCTTTGAGATAATAGACACAAAATTATTGTTTGCTTTTTGAGTCTGAAAAAATCCAAGTTGAGAATAGTGATCTGTGTTTTTATTATAATAACCAGAAAAAGGGGGAAACTGAACATAAAACTGCCTGTCCTGAGTCAGACCATGGGTCTCTCCAGCCCCGTAGCATGTCTTGAAAGGTCAATGATAATGTCCACCCAGGGAAGACTGCAAGGGCAACTTACTTTATAGAATTTCCCCGGGGTGTTTCCCCAGACGCCAACAATTTGTGGCTTAGGGACCTCCCAAGCCAGCAGTGGACTTCTTTTCTTTATAGTAGCCCTCAGTGGAATTTTCTACCATGAATTTATCAAAATTATTTTCAATCCACATAAACTTACAGCATCCAAAACATCCTGTGGAATAACATGAGAGGAAAGAGGATGGGTTTCTTTCATCATTCGCAATGATTGACTGTGACAGAAGCTTCCAAGCGAGATCATCTGACTGCATTTCTGAATAGAAGTATCCCTTCTCTGCTGTGTATTTTCAGCAGCAAGCAGCCTTAATACACTGTTAACCAAAAATGGGGATATTGTAGGGGATATTGTAGGTGTGCACTAACTTAACAATCCAACTTTAATTGCGTATTGGTTATCAAGTATAGAAAAGGGCTCCACATATATGTTCCTACATTGTAAAGGTGTTGGGTTTGTGCGGGGTAATAGACTTACTTGATTTACCACAATTACTGCTGGGTTGCATGTGAAACCCTGTTTTTTCCTGCCTCTTTACTGAAAATGAATTTTCAAACTTAAGAAGACCAAAATGAGCTATACTGTACAAAGTTCTTGTTTTGTGCTTCTATTTGCAGGATTAATCATGTACAGACCTTTAAATGTAATTTATGTTTTACTACATTTTATATACTTTTTTCAATTGAAATAGTTGGATTTTTTAATTAATTACTTTATAACTTAACCTTTTACAATATTCACATGTGGTGCAGTTTTATTGTATTGCTGTTTCATTTTGTTAAACATGCAGACAGGTCCATACATTTCATGACCATTTCTGTAATAACAGCAATACACATTCTCTGTGTAGCATTGTAGCCAACACACACTATAGCTATAAGTTGTACGTCCAACATGAAGTATTCAATAAAGTGATGCAAAAAGTATAATTAAGTATGTTATTTTTACAGCTCCTACAGCTGCTGTTTTGTTCTGGTGCTTTGTGGAAGCAGAAATGGCCACAGTTCCATAGGTTACAAGTTTCATACATAAACTGCAACTTCATCTTTTCTTACATTGGGATTGAGTTTAAGTCAGGAATCATTGTGATCTACACCCTGTGCTCATGGTATGACAGCATTACTTATTTCCAGTATTACACCTGGATTTGGAAATGCACTGATAAGAATAAAATATAAACGCTTTATTACTTGTGTTCATATAATGCAGCTTTGGGTGCTATTACTAAATAAAGAATAAAGCAATAAAAAAACCCATTAAGTTATTTATTTTAAGTTCCTTGTTTCTTCAAGGTTTCACTTTTTCAGCTTAATGAACTTTATTAATTATCTACATTGGCTTCCTTTGTTAACTGTTTGATATACACCACCACTAACAAATGAAACTAATTCCTTTTAGAACCACAAAAGACACTGAAATTAACGGTAGGGGTGGTGGGTAGGAAAACAAGCAGCAAAGAAGTAATTGATCACATAGGGGCTGTCTCTAAGTCGTGTAACAACAGAACCATTTCAGGTGTATAGCATTAATTTAATGTAGTTGCAATACAATTTCAGTTGAGGTTGATTAGTCCCAAATGTAGTCTGAGGTTTTACAGCTATTGTAAAGATCTTTGTCTTGCTCTGTTGTTAATCCTACAAATATGTTTTTTCATAACTCCATGTGGTTAACCATTGAATTACTTTCGTATCAGATTTAAATTAAATATATATATGAGATGTAACCTGAAATGTTAGGAGAAATACCTCGTAAAAGAGCTCATTGTCATGTGCTTTTCTTACCAAGGAGAGGATGATGTGTTCCAGCTTTCCCCACTATCTTTTTTCCTCACCAAATGCATGTTTCCTCAGTGTATCTTTCTGTTCCCAGCTCAAGTAGGTGATGATTTTGGTACAAATTACTGACAAAGAGGCAAACAGCTTTGGTGCAGGCACCTCCACATCAGGGCAGAGTATCAGCAAAACAAGGGTTCTGGAGCTGGGAACCAGCCCAGGCAGCGCCAGGGCAAGGGCTGCTCGTCAGAGGGCTGCAGAGGAGGCATGGGCAGAGCTCACCCCCACTCCCAGAGAAGCAGCCCCGGGCAGCGCCAGAGCCCAGGGGCACACGGACCAGGGCGGGCAAACAGGGCGCGGCGCAGCAGTTGGTGCCAGTTGGCACAGGCAGGGCGGGCTGGGAGCGCGCTCCTTGGAAGGGCTCAGCTCCGGGCAGGCTGCGTGGGTTGAGGGTGCTCATCTTAACTAACAAGGCAGAATGATGAGCACTCGGGGGAGAGCAAAGGCTGCAGCTGTGCCTGAGGGCTCTACACCATCCAGCCCAGTGCTGATCGATGCCTCGACTCAGAGCTGCTGAGGAGAGAGGTCACTGTACAGACCGCAGGCTGTGAGAAGTGCCTGGACCTCTTGCGTGGGGTGGGGTTAGGTGGGAAATCTTCATGCATAAGGTGTGCCCAGGCAGAGGACCTCCTGCAGCAGCTGGTGGCCAAGCTGAGGGAAACCAAAAAGGCTGCATAACATCAGGGAAAAAGAAAAGGAAGAGAGAGCTGGATCCAGGCCCAGGCTGCAGCAAAACTGCAGCCTGTGTTCACACAGCCATTCAATGCTTCGCCAGCACACAGAGAAAGCAGAGAGGCCAAGAAAACAGAAGATTGGAAGATGCCAAAGATACAAAACAGCAGGAAGAAGAGGCTTCCTGCACAATCCGAGGTGCTCTGTGAAGCTGCTTCCCAGTTCTGCAGACTGGAGAGGAAATAAACCAGGCTGCATCAGGTAAGCTGCTGGAGCCAAACAAGGCAGCCCAGCTGGCTTACTGTGTATTGACAAGCACAAACAAGAGGAAGCAACAGCTGACAGTGGTGGGAGACTCTCATCTGAGAGGTATGGGGGCACCCATTTGCCAAGCAAGCCCACTCTCTAGAGAGGCCAGTTGCTTGCCAGGGGCTCTCATAAGGGACGTCACGGAGAAATTACCCAAATTATACATCCCACTGACTACTATCCACCCCCACTGTTTCATGTGGGTTGCAGTGATAAAGCAAGGAGCAATCTGAAGACCATGAAGAAGCGTTACAGAGGACTGGGAGCAGCAGTGAAGGACTTGAGAGCATAGGTGGTCTTTCATCCACCCTCCTGATCAAAGAGAATAGGCTTGAGAGGGCAAATCACATTGGGAAAATCAATAAACGCTCACAGGAGTGGTGCCACAGCCAGGGCTTTGGCTTCCTAAACTATGTGCTCACTTGGGGACACCTGGTCTCCTAGGGTCGGATGAGGGTCATCTTTCAGGAAAGGAGCAAGTATCTTTGGCCATAGGCTTGCCAATCTGGTAAGGAGGGCTTTCGACTGGAGTTTCTGAGGGAGGGGATCCTCAGTCTATCCCACTGCCACCCCTTTGAAGCCTATTTGAGTAAGAGATGCTCTGGGCCTGAAGAGGGATCATAGACCAGCAGGAGAATACCTGACATGAAGGAAAACGGAATCCCAGCAGTGAGGCAGCTTCAACAGGGCCCAATTTAAATGCTTGCACGCAAATGCACGTGGTGTGGGAAATAAGCAGGAGGAGCTGCAAAATTGTGCAAGCCTGCAGGGCTATAATGTTTTCAGCACCACTGAGACATGGTGGGGTGATTCCTATGACTGGAGCGTGGGAATGGATTGGTACAAGCTTTTTAGGAGGGACAGGCAAGGGAAAAGAGGAGGGGGTGTCACCCTTCACATCAATGACCAGCTGGAGTCCATGGAGCTCCACCTGAGGATGGAGGAGGAGCTGACAGCATCTGGGTGCAGGCTAAAGGGAAGACAGGGAGTGGTGATACTACAGTGGGAGTTTGCTGTAGGCCACCTGACCAAGTGGATGAGGCCCTTTAGCCAAGAGGTGCAGCTTCCTATTCACAGACCATGATCCTCCTGGGGGATTTCAATCACCCTGGCATCTGCTGGAGGGACAACACAGCAAGGCATCAGCAATCTGGGAAGCTCCTGGAATACACTAATGACAACTTCCTTTCCAAGTGGTAGAGAAGCCATCTATAAAAGGTGCTATGCTGGACCTTGTTTTCACCAACAAGGATGGCCTGGTGGACAATAAGAAGCTTAAGGGCAGCTCTGGCTGCAGTGACCATGAAATGGAGTAGTTCAGGATCTGCAGGGCAACAAGGAGGGTCTGCAGCAAACTCACTACCCTGGACTTCAGGAGAGCAGATTTCAGCCTCTGCAGGGATCTGCTTGGTAGGATATCATGGGATAAAATCCTATAAAGGCAAGGAGCTGAAGAAAGCTGGTCAGTATTCAAAGATTATCTCCTCCAAGCCCAGGAAC